AATAGTCCAAACCCCTCTCCGGAATAATCAACACTAGAGCAGTGATAAGTCCAACCTTAAGCTCTTGAAATGACTTCTTACAAGTCTCACTCCACACAAATTTGATCCCCTTTCTCGTCAGTCTAGTCAACAATGAAGCTAACCTAGAGAAATCCTTCGCAAATTGACGGTAATACCCGGCCAACCCCAGGAAGCTAAGAATCTCGAAGGCATTTTTAGGTTGTGGCCAATCTTGTACTACTTCTATCTTTGAAGAGTCTACAGTCACTTTTTCCCTGAATACCACATGGCCTAGGAACTTAACTTCCTTTAACCAGAATTCATAATTCCCGAACTTAGCACACAATTTGTGGGTTCTAAGTAATTCTAGCACAACTTACAAGTGTTCCTCGTGCTCCTCCTCAGAGGGTGAGTAAATCAAGATGTCATCACAATTCAACCTCACTTCAAATCGCACAACCATTTCTATGAAACTATCAGAAAACCCCTCTTTTTAGTTTTGACCAAAAACCCTAGATTTGTTCAAAAAATTTCCAAATCACAATATTGTTTCAAAGCACAAATAGCTAAATTAAAACTCATAGAAAGTGCGAAGAATCCCTAACTCAAACTTAGAAGACGAGAAGAAGAGTGTAGGAAACCCAAGGATGCCGAAAATCAACTTTGCTCCGATTAGAACGAAGCCCTCATCGAGCTCTATCTTTTTAACAAAGGGGCACGAGTGAAAAGATCGACGGATCTAGGTGTATTTGATGGACCACCGCTCGAGCGTAAGTCGGCTAGCTCGAGCGAACACAACTCGAGCATAAGAAATACTGCTTGAGCGAAAAATGCCAAAACCCAGTATCTCTACAGACCTGCAAAAGTACTGAAGGATCACTTGAACACAAAAAGTGTCGCTCGAGCGTTGAAACAAATTTCTGGGCAACAACAATTTGAAAAACAAGCTACCAACCTGTTCCAAACGCAACCAACACATCCCAAAAGCTAAACTCAAAGAGAAATGAAAAGAAATAAGACATGAATAACTATATAAGACAATAAAACCCGAATCCAAAAAATCTAATGGGTTAGATCTAAACTAGAATCGTTATAAAAAACGTATTACATAATGCACAAAAATGAGATTATTGCCAAGTGGTTTGCACATGTCAGCAACCCAAATTATTATTTTCCCTTGCCTTTTAATGAACAATTACAGAAAAATGTATTTTTTTTTTCCAATGTCATTTATTTGTCATTTATTTTTAATGTAATTTTGAGTATTTTTAATGTTTCAATGTAATCTTGTTTTTTCAATGTATTGTTGACTATTTTTTAGTATAATTTTAATTTTTCAATGTTATTATGAACAAATAAATATATTATTGAAATGAAGACAATAAAGTTGCAAATGAAGACAATTTTATTAAAATAAAAAGACATTACATGACAATAAATGTCATTAAAAAGATAAAATAAAAACTTAATCTAATGCTCCAGATCGGGATCACAAGTGTTCAATTAGATCATTACGAATTGCATTATGGGCTTCAGTAGATCTATTTCTCTAGTGATTCAACATAAATTTAGCATACTCCTAATTTGGATCGTGTAACTCGATTTTTTCGTGGCCCCTTTCGAAAGGTTTGAAAGAAGCCCTACAGTTTGGACTCCCATGATTCTGAATCTAATCTCACAAGTGTAATGTGAAATTGATAAACACCAAAGAGTCCAAATCCGGCAAATCTTTTGGAAAATTGACTTTTGGGTCAAAAATGCCAAAATTGGACTGCTTTTCCAGATACAGAGTCGCCACCTAAATATTTTATTTTAAAAAAAATTTAGGAAACCTATGACTCATGCCAAAGGCCACGTGTCCGTCATTACCAAAGTTGCCTTGACTTGGGAACTTAGGTACGAGAGGAGAAGGTCATAAATTGAGCACCCCCGCTCGCATGATCCAAAGATCGGCCTCTACTAATCATGATATGATTTTTATAAACACTATGTGCTCTTATTCCAGTTATTAAGCTAGCCTTACTATGTGATGCGCACAAGCAAGTATAGACTAGTTTGCTCAAGTTGGAACAATTCAACTTCATGTTTGTTTTGCGAAAAGGGTTTGATTGTGCCACCTCAGGTGGGCTTAAAGTTCGTGAATTTGCCACCAAACATAGTGGGCTTAAAACTATGAATTTTTCACTAGACACAGTGGGCTTAAACATACATTCGTTGAATCGTTTCAATTCAAGCAACAAGCCTTCATCCACAAGCATTCATGCAATTTATCAACTAAGCATTTAGCCTGGTGGAAAGCATGCTAGACATGGTAATCACTCACACTCATGCAAGTATACTAAAGCATTAAAAACTCACCTAGTACTGCAAGTCAAAAGAGAAACTAGTTAGAAAAATGCATGTTCCTAACTATGCCAAATGACTAATACAACACATGCAACTAATAGGCTCGGCTACTAATATGGCATATAATTCAATTTTGAAAACATGCGGTCTAAGTACGTATTCAAAGAAGTATTCAAAACAACAATGCAGTTTGAATGATGTGTCGAGCCTCGGTGCATGCAATACAAAATGAATGGATGCAAGCATAAGGTATCCTAATTGAAACGTGTCCCTAATCTAACCATTGTAAGCGGGTAAATAAAAGAGAGAAAGGCATGGGGTTGGAAGGCATGCACATTATTATATTTTGCTCTTGCGAAGGAGAGTCTGAATGAATAACTAAGCTAACTAGTAACTAATTAAAGCTAAGCTAATTAAGCTAATTAGGCTAATTATTACAAACCAAAATGAAATAAATAGCTAAGCTAATTAACTAATAATTACAACAATTAAATGAACTAATTAGTAAGCTAACTAATTAAGTTACAATACAAATGTAAGCAACCTAAGTAATTAAGATATCTAACTATGCTACCACTACTCCGCCTCGGGAAATGGAAGATGCACATGCTCAGATACCGCCCGAAAAGACCTCCGTTTTGCCATCAAAAGCCTCTGTTTGTAGAGTTGAACACTTCCAGAACCATTTTGCTCCACCTTACCAACATTCTGCTGAAGTTTGCATCAGTGGCCAGCCGGCCACTGGTAGATACTGCCGACCATCTGCCGGCCATGAAGGTGGCCTGCCGGCCATCTATGGTGCACTTTCGGCCATGGATGGTGGCCTGCCAGCCACTGATGCACTAGATTATCATGCTGTAACAGAGTACAAACAGAGCAAAAAGAGGATATTTCCAAGGATTGTCTGCATTATTCAACCCTCTTTTTCATGAATAAATCCAAGGAGTTGTGAACTTAAGCCACAAACCACCAATCCAAGCAATTTCATTGCATGATGGCTTGTGATTCAAGATGTGCAAGCTCAATAAATGCAAAATGAGACACAAAAGACCATCACCCTATCGTGCATATCAAGGGCAATGGAGACCTATGAAACTTGACACATTTCATCACTTTGAGTATGAAATGTCCCATTTTTCCTTGTGTTCAATTAATGTCCGATTAAACACACAACACACAAGTTATTATCTTGCTCAATTTTACTTGCCACTTTTATCTACTCATCTTAATTACCAACCATTACTTAGTCAATTAAGTCCATTGGTGAGAGTTTTCTAAAGTGAAAGAAGTGTCAACCAAGGGGTGGTGTAAGGCATGAGAGAAGTTTCATGCCGTTGGTAATAAACCCTTAAAAGAAGATTAAACCATCAAGCATGGACCTCAATCTCAAGCTTAAAAAATCCAAAGTTTGAAACAACCCTCAAAACAAATTAAAAAGTCAAGAAATGAGGGAGGTTGCAGAGATTATAAGTGTTGAAATGAAATGCAAAACAACACCAAAGTATGTAATCAACTCAAACAAGAGGTGCCTAATGGCCTAAAACACCATTCTTGTGAGGACCTTTACACTACAATCATGCAAAATAAGGCCCAACTGACCCAAACAACCCAAAACAGAGCTAAAACAGTCTAAAATAAAGGCAAAAACATGCTAGAATATAAATACAAAAAGTTAGAAAAACATGCTAATATATGGAGTTAACTAGGCGAACAAACAAGACACAAGGAGGGGAGGCCAACCCCTCCAATTTTAGACTTCAAAACATGTTTTTTACCACTGAAAATTCTCTGAAATTCAGTGGTTAAAGGCCCAAAAAGGTTGGTTTGAAAGTGGGAAACAAAGGTGCAAAAGCCTTAGAAGCAAGGAATAAAGAAGGGTGAGATACCTCCCTAACCCTAAATGGCTTAAAACACCAATTTCAGCCCATTAAAATAGAGATTTTTACAGCTCAAAAATGCCCCAAAAAACAGTGGGAAAAGATGGAGGAACAAGTGTAGTAAAACAAGTTAAAAGACAAGTGTTATACCTCTTGAAGCCAAGTACAACTTTAGGCACAAATATAAGTCAAAACCACCTTCAAGAGCTCCAACAACACCTCAAGGGACCTCAGCTCAAAGGTGATCAATTTTGGTTAAGGATGTGTATGCAAAAGAGTGATATAACTAGGCAAGTGTCACAAAATTGCAAGAGAGAGAGAGAATTTTTTTTTGAGTTTGAAATCTTCTAACCTTAAAACATGAGAGAGGGACTCCCTATATATAGAAAACATGAAATTCTATACAAGGAGATCTAGCCCTCCACGTGTGGACAGATGTAAGCATCTGTGCAAATAGCTGGCACAGTTGGCATAAAATATCTGCAGAAAACACTGGTGGCCGGCCAACCATCACTGACATCATTGATGGCGGACAAGGCACATCAATGGCCGGCAGATAAGAAGTACTGGCCGGCAGCCTTCATAGATGGCCGGCAGGCCATCAGAGATTGCAGGCTGGAAAGACCAAGGCATGGTCCAAAAATGATGCAGGGTTTGAAAGGCTCAAAGCTATGGCGTTCCACTGAGGACTCCAAGCGCTTGGCGAGCAAACAGACTCATCATTGGATGTACCTGCAAAAACATCCAAGTCTTGAAGGGCCGTAAAAAATGGGGTGTCTATAGATTGCGTAACACTTGACATAGGGTATTAGTGATATCAGTTTCTAGTAGTGTTGCACTGCTTTTATTTTCTGGAATATTACGCTCATTTTCAATGATTGTATTGTGCAAAATAATGCACGTTTTCATGATGTAGTAAAGATTCTCATCATTCCAACCTCTCGCCGGAACTCTAAAAATATTGAAACGTGCTCGGAGCACTCCAAATGCCCTTTTGATATCCCTTCGAAATGCCTCTTGTATCCTTGCAAATAGTTGTCTCTTTAAACCTTGAGGTTGAGATATTGTTTTCATAATTGTTGTGCAATGAGGATAGATACCATCAACAAGATAATATCCCATGGTGTATGCGTGATTATTGATGGTATAGTTGGCAACAGGATCACGTCCTCTAGTTAATTTAGAAAATAAAGGCGACCTATCAGGAACAGTAATATCATTTAGAGAGCCAGACATGTAAAAGAAAGCATGACAAATCCACAAGTCGTAGAAAGCGACTACCTAGAGTACAATTGTTGGTTTGTGATAGTGTCTAGTATAAGCACTGACTTGGGTGGTTGGACATTTATCCCAATGCTAGTGCATACAATCCAAACTCCCTAACATTCTATGAAACCCGCGTTGCTCTCTTACTTACAATAGTCTGGCGACATCTGACTCATTTGGGGATTTTAAGTAAACGCCTTCATAGATAGCAACAATTGTTCTGGTAAAGAAATTCAAGGCCACAATTGCCGTAGTTTCGTCGATTCTGATGTACTCATCTACATCATCAATAGGTACGCCGTATTGTAGGATCCGAAGTGCAATAGTCATCTTCTATACAACGGATAATCTAGGAGCACCAGTGGCATCATGGGTTTGGATGAAGTACTTATTGACTTGTTGAATATCATGTAAGATACTAAGAAATAGAGCCTCCTCATTCGAAAATGTATTCAGAAGTATTCTTCTGGGTAGACAGGATTATCTGTAAAGTAATCTCTATAAATCTGTTCATCACCTTTGACCCTCTCATGATTAATGTATTGACGACCACTTGTGGAAACAACATGTCTGCTTGGTTGGTTTAGGGTTAATGCTTGTATTCTTTGTTATTGTGTTGTTAACAGTTGCATCATCATTATATCATCATCAGATGGTGAAGTTTCATAAAAATCTCCATTTAAGAAGGCTTTAGTGAAATTGTTCATTGTAGGTGGGTAAATATGAAAATTATAGAAAATCTTGTGAGTGGGTACAGAGAGTTTAGAAGATATGGAAATTGTGGGTAGGTGAATATGAAATTTGTTGAAAAACCTTGTGTTATAATTTATAGAGAAAATTGTGGATGGTTGAATTATGGATAGTTGTTGCTGGGCGGTTGTTGGTAACTGAATGCTGGATGAATAATAGATGATTGTTAGGTAGATGGTTGTTGGTAAATGAATGTTGGGTGAATGATGGATGATTGTTGGTGGGTGATTGTTGGTAAATGAATGCTAGGTGAATAATGGATGGTTGTTGGTGATTGTTTATTTTTTAATGCAGTTAATAATTTTTTATTTTTTTAGTGGTATGTTTTTTGTGGGGTGCATTATATTTAAATGTTTTTTGGAAATTTTTTAATTTTTTTTTATATTTGTCAAGTAAGGTATAATGTAAATATATAATTTTTTTTTAAACAGCTAAAAAAGGTCACAAAAAAAAAAAAACTAAAAACCTATGTCCAAACAACAAACTTGAAGAAAAAGTTAGTTGAAATTTGCCAAAATAGCATGTAACTATGGGAGCACCATTACTACAATTTGACAAAATAGCACTATTCATTGCCAAATTATAGCAATGGCAATGCTTTTTTTTTATCAGAAATTTTTTTTATTAATGATCACAAAGTAAAACAAGGTGATACAAAGTGATACATCAATAAAGAGAGGAAATAGTGCTCAATCATCCTAACCAATGTTAAAATGCCAAAAAGGTTGGCACTCACACACAGGCGTAAACAAATGCTACCACAAAACCTCAGTTGCTAAGTCACCAACCGAAACAGCAGAACACTACTCAGCAACTGCACAAACAAGGCAACACAGCAGCAACAGGACTGATAGCAAAACCAGCTCATGCTGCCCAACAAAAGGCCACAGCAATGCCACAATAGAACCAGATTCATGCACCCTTCACCTCAAACAATGTCTAACCTGTTAAAGATTATGAACAAAATCATGCACAATGTAATTCACACCTGGTAACCTACTCTTAGCCCAAAACGCTACCATTGTCTTCACCATGTCCTCCAAATCAGCAAAATTAGGATGAGCGTCATTAAACAATACATCATTCCTCAACCTCCAAATCGACCACAATAAGACTAAAGGCACAATTTTCCACACCTCCACCTCTTTTTTCTTAATCGAAGCCCCTGCCCACCAATGCAACAAAGCCTTAATAGACCCAGGGATTATAATAATTTCATTTTTTTTCGCTCACAAAAGTCAAAAAAGTCAAAAAGTTCATCCTAAACGAGACTTCTTAACTCCAAGCTAAAATAGCCAAATAACTAAAAGTCAAAAAGTCAATCTACATCCTGAACGAAGGCTTAATCTTATGTATATATTATTAAACACAACAATCATGTGCTAAGAGCATGGTTGAACAGTTCCACAACTTGTCTTTTTTCGGATTCACAATATGGTTTTAATAAGCAATCCTTTTCTAAAATAGTAGTAATTAATGTGAAAGATGTACATACCAGAAATGCTCTAGTGACTTGGGCTTGTTTTGAGAAATTAAATAAGAACTGTTTTTTAATTTTTTTTAAAATTTTTTTTTTTGAAAAAATGTATAAAAATTTATAGAAGTAATATGACCCAAAATAAATTAAAAATCAAAAATAATCTTTTAACCAAGCTCCCAAATTAACCCTTTTTCAGGAACTCTACAAAACAACTACTTCTTTTCTAGATTTTCATTTTATTCAATCAAATGCAGTCAAGCATTGTGATCAATCTTTGACAAACAAGACAAGAATAATTTTAGTACCCAGGGAGGAACAATTTTTGGTAATTTCAAGATGTCAGAGAAAGTGCTAAATGCTAATGATTTATTACAATAACTATTGTTAGGGAAGAGAATTATGGAGAAATCCCTCAATTGGATAAAGGAGAAGCCGAAATTTTTTTCTTCAATAAAGACAAATGTCAAAATATGACAAAAATACCCCCACGTAAAATTTCATTAGCCTTCCCCCACCATCTCTGGTGGCAATCTCCAGCGGCTGGCGATAATTTTTCATCAACTGTTTTTCGGTTGCCAGCAACTCTATGATAAACTTTTTGGTGAGAATATCTTGGCATCATTTTCTAGTAACTCCTCTCTTCTGGCAACCTACTTCAGCAACTGCCTACGGAAAATCTTCTCAAAATCTATACAAAATGTGAAAACAATCAAATCTGTCACAAGTCAATTTTGCATTTTTATAAATTTTTCTTTGAAAAGACAATAAAATTTGCAATTAAAAATGGTGAACCGCCAAATAATTTTGTCATTTTGTACCCTTTTTATTTTGGAACTGTTGATGAATAATTCAAAAGAAATATAGTATTGTTGCTTCTTGTGATCTTAGAGAAATAGTTTTTTGCCGACCTCCTAACTGGTAAGATTAAAAAACAATTTTTGAAAAATCAAACCGAACCAACCATAAGGCATTGTTTGGCAAGCTTCAATTTTAGTCAAAAATCACTATTAGTTGTCACGTCACTTTCTTTATTTTTCTGCACATCTTTTCATAAAAAAATTAAAAAGTTACTAAAATAGCATGCTCCAAATGAGGTCTAAGGACATTCACAATGAATGTGTTAAAATTGTGTGTTAAAGTGTGTTATATGACAAAAAGTTTTAAAAGTGGGACCCAAAAATATGTGTTAAGAGTTTGTTAATTTAGTGAGTGAAAAGTGAATGAATGGTGGTATAATGGATGTGTTAAGGGATGTGTTAAATATATATATATATATATATATGTATATATATATATGTGTGTATATAATAAATAAAATAAATAAATAATTTAGTTTAATAAAAAATTTCATCAGAAAAATTGATGTGACTTGCCAGTAAATCTCAACCACACAATGTAGCACTCTAAGAAACTTTAGTAAAAAATCACTCTAGAGGATCCTTGCTCGACAAAAAGTGTTAAAAGTGGGACCCAAAAATATGTGTTAAGAGTTTGTTAATTTAGTGAGTGAAAAGTGAATGAATGGTGGTATAATGGATGTGTTAAATATATATATATATATATATGTATATAATAAATAAAATAAATAAATAATTTAGTTTAATTAAAAATTTCTAGCCCAAAATTAAATTTCAAGTAAAAAAAAATCCCAAGAAGTAAAAAATAAAAAATAAAAAAAAAAATTTGCCGTTGGCCGGTCAACCGGCCGGACGTCCCGCTGTTCAACCGGTAAGACAAAAAAACGCTCTCCTTCGCTAGCTAAAACGCTCGCTGCAGATAACAAACAAGTTAACAGAAGTTAACAACTGACAAATTTAACACACCTACTAAACAGTTCCATTGTGAGAACAAAAACAGAAAATGACTAGTTAAAAAATAACAATTGACACTAACACATGTTCTAACAGCTCCACTGTGGATGCTCTAAGGTTAACAACTGACAAATTTAACACACCTACTAGCAGTTCCATTGTGAGAACAAAAACAGAAAATGACTAGTTAAAAAATAACAATTGACGCTAACATATGTTCTAACAGCTCCACTGTGGATGCTCAAAGTACCTTCAAAAGCACTCCAAGAGCCACCACTACTGTGGCCACATTGTGCTTGCTTGTTGAATGTTGGCACACATAATCTTAAACAGTCAAGCTATGAGCCCTTTTCAACTAATGTATAGCAAAACAAACTTCGAATTATATACAAAGATAGTTTTCACAATTGAACAGAAAAAAACCAAATTGAGGGAGTGATCATAGGCTACTTGCTTGGTCCTAGATTGGAAAAATTGCTTTTGCTTATTCTTGGCCTCAAATCTCAAAACTAATGTATTAGAATAATATCCTATGATTAGTTCAAAACAATCTCGATCATTTTCTATAATATACAATTCCTGTTAATTTTTCACCAGACATATGTTTAAGTAATTCACAAATATTTGATGCACCTACTGTTCAAATTCATTAGAAAACATGTTGCTTGTATTCAAATAGATCAAGGAAAAAAAAACAAAAAACAAAAAACAAAAGAGGAAAGACTGAAGTAAATATGCAAGAGAGGCATTGGGCATAGCTGGAATGACGATGGCTTGTTTTTCACATCGAAGAAGCTGTGCAAAGAAGCATACAAGAGTGATATTGATTCGGCTCATCTCCAAACTTGTTATTATGCAACAAAAAAGGGATTGAGATGGGCCGGATCAGTATCACCATGTCGACTTCTCCAGGAAGTCCTATGGGATCTCTCTCCCCCTCTCTCTCTCTCATCGGAGAGGTTTTGAACCAGCTTAGGAGGGTGAAAGCTCATTTCTTTATATGGAAGAAAAAAGACTGTCAAAAAACCAGTTACAAACAAGGACTAAAGATAAGGAAGGATATCATATAATTATTAAAGCATATATGGAACAATTTATCATCATCATTGATAAGCTTTAGGAATCCCACTACCAATCCTTTTTTGTTGTTTAGGGAACCTCCGTGCGCACATGGTGGAGGATCCTGTTGTAACCACATGTGAAATAGTATGGATGCTTGCCACGTCATCATCAATTTTTATGAATGCACATGTCATGGACAAAGCATTATCCACGCCATCATCTCTTGA